TGCTATTTCCAAATGCCCCCTGGGTTGAGAATCACCCATTTTACTGATGAAGAAGCAGAGGCCTGGGGTGGGGCTGGAGGGCTCATGGGGAATGACTTGCCCAAGGTACTAAGTGAGAAAACCAAGCCTTGACCTTGGATTTCCTCCTGACTCCTCACGACTGGTGCCCTCTCTGCCTGAGTCTCTGTGGGACCTGTCCCTGAGACCAAGCTAGTCCCTCTCTGGATTCTCCCCACCTGTTTCCCCGGGATCCCCCTGCCCACAGGGGCCCAAGGAATCACTCACGATGATGAGGAGGATGAAGTAGATGAAATTGTAGAAGGAATGAGCATCCATCACAAAGTACATGATGTCGACCCAGCCCTCCAGCGTGATGACCTGGGGAGGGTGCAGAGGGACAGGCTGACCCGGGGGGGCCCCCCTAAAGCCTCCTGCGGTCTCCTCAGAGGCCCCGGCCCCCTCCCAGCCCTGAGGACGACCGCTCCGAGGCCGGACTGCGTCCTGGCGCTTGTGTCCTGGGGAACGTCTCAGTACCCGGCTGTCCCACCTGGAAGATGGCAATCCAGGCATAGCCGATGTTGTCGAAGTTGATGGCGCCCTTGAAGGGGTTGTGCTCCCCTGCGGAGCAGTTGGTGTAGTACTGGTTCCAGTTGACGCAGGTGGTGTTGCTGGAGCTGTTATAGGCCTCATAGTCCAGGCCGCAGGGGGGGCCGCCGCCGCCCTCGCCGCGCAGTGTGGGCACGCTCCTGCACGAGCGCATGCCGTTCTCCCGCGGCTGGGAGCAGATGAAGGGGTTCTCGTCCTCGTTCTCCGTCTGGTAATAGCGCTCCAGGTCCACGCTCAGGGGGCTGCAGGGGGGACAGGGAGGAGCTGGGAGCAGGGGTCTCCGGGGAGAGGTCCCAGGAAGGATGAGCTGCATGGGTGCAGTGAGACCTGCAGGGTGAGCAGGGCAGGGACGAGAGTCGGGCACGCATCGGGCGGGGGCGGGGATTTGTGGGTGTGGGTTGGCGGGCACCAGGAGTGTGCGGACCGAGTGTGACATTCCAGGGTGGGGGCGAGGGAAGGTTATGTCCCAGGGTGATAGTTTTCTAACGTGGCTGCACATCAGGCTCACGGCGGAGCTTGTAAGCTCCCCAAGGCCATGCTGACCCCCAGGCCAATGAAATCAGAGCCTGTAGGGGACCCGGGCCTCGGGAATTTGTTTTTAATTCCCCAGTTGACTCCAGTGTGTAGCCGAGTTTGAGAACCAGACATGTCACCGATGTGAAAACAGCCATGTCAACGGCAACAGGGACT